CCGTTGATTCAGTTTCGTATCTGATTTTCTGCACACAACGACGCGGCTGCCGCTGCTCAGTCACTCACGTGCCTCCTCCTTTTCCCCCTCGGGGAACTATTTTTGACTGTTTCCCGCCATAACAGAGTTTGACCCTTCCTTCCACTTCTACCTCCCTTGTACAAAATCAAAATAAGAATAAAAAATTACTACCCTGCCCCTCTCTCTCTCTCTCTCTTACTTTATTTCTTTCTTCCTCTCCCTGAGATACTAATCTTGGGAAAGTTCTTTCCTACAGTTTTCCACTGTACAAGCTCACTTTGGAAAAGAATCAATCCATGCTTCCCGATGGAAAATTTTATATTGTTATTTATAAAGAAACAACAGTGTTCGTCGGCTTTGACCACGCTTATAGAGAGATTTGGATTCATAAATTTGCGTATTGCTGTATTTAGCAATTAGATTAACAGGTCGTTTGCTTTTTATAGATTTGAAGAAATGAGAGTTTCGAAAAATCATAGAGATACGAGGGATTATAGATTTGGTTATGAATTTTACTTGATTAGATTTGTGGATATGAAACACAAATTACTTTGTTACTCTTATTTAATAATATTTCTATTATGATCCAAATCCTCCATTAGAAACAATCTCATGCATACAAAAGAAATTTTACACTTTATCACTACTATGTGAACTGATACTTCAACTACAAATAAATGTATCACAATTTGGCACTAATTAATAATTAATATAATAATGTACACAGTATTATTGACTTTAATCTATCGCCTAAATCTCACCTCAAAAGGTGAAACTTCCAAATCCATGGTGCCCATGAATTTGATCCCTCAAAGTCCATGGGAACCACAAATTTGATTCTCCTAATTCCATGAAGCAACCATGATGGATGCCCAAATCCATCACACAATCTATGAAGTAAACAACCCCAAAATGTATTGGTGGATTAAAAGTTTAAGTACCATGTTATTATAAAAAATTAGGTACCAAAACATGATTTTTAATGATATTTTCATCAAAAATAAATTTTAGGTATCAAATTGCAAACAAAAAATAGGAACTAAACTATAGTTTTTCAATAATCCATATCCAATTTTATTTGAATTAACTCATTAAACATGTTGGATTTAAAATGGATTGGATTAATTGGGTATCTTAGTAGATGATCTGGATTCAAATTGTCACATCTACTCGACAGCATGCAAACGATCATCGTGCCCGTTGATCTAATCTCTTATACATCATCCCTCAACTTTGACGACGACCTCATCCTCTTCTCCGCAAATCGGCATTCTTGACTCTCTCCATAGTCTCTTTTTCCTCCAGTAGATTCTGGTGTTGAAGAGTAATCAATAATGTGAAATCCGTCATCAGCGTATTTGTATTGGTTATCGCTGAAATTGAGAGAGTTGTTGTAGTAGCTGTAGTCGTGGTGTTTGCCACTCTCCCGAGCATAGTCGTGGTCACATTTTCCGCTTCCTGTTTTGCTAGGCAGTCAAGCTAAGCTGGGTTAGCGAATTGCAAAACAACTTTTACCTCTTGAGGGTAGGGACTGAAATTTCGTGGAAGCTTCATTAGCAAATTGGAAGGGAGGTCAGTTCCAAAAGCCATTTAATGTTTATGTTGTTGTACCCAACATTACAACAGAATTCTCCAAAATAAATATGGGATGGAGAGGAAATTTGTGGCAGCAGGACAGGACCACCTACGACTGCAGAGTGTTACTGGAAACAATTTTTTGTCTATCCTATTTTTGTTTTTGGGGAAACGGGGGGTTAGGATTTGGGGGAAGGAGAATTGGATACGGAATATTATCATGAATTTTGTATTTTTGGAGGACAACAAGAAGAGGGTGAAAATTAGTGTTTTTTTTTTAATGAATAGTAGGATTCACTCAGCCGGAATTATTAAGACTAATCGAATACTAATAGTGTTGATACCAAGCTCCGAGGAGCCTGCTTCAACGTGTTTGAGGTCCGGTGAGCGTTTTTCTCCTGGCCAACGTCCGCCACCAACCTCCAAGATGGACACTACGCCGCTCCCGGTTACTCTCCTCTCAAATATTGACTTGAGCTTCGGAGCAGGTCCCCCTGACCACTGCCGGCGGGTCCAGAGAAATTTAGAAGTTCAACCCGAAAATGAACTGCCCAAAAAGCAGAAATGAGCGTCCTATTTATAGGTGCCTCCTGCTTTGAGAGTAGATGGCGTGTGAATAATAAAATAACAATATAAAATATATCAATCTTCCAACCACCTAATGTGCAATGGTCGGGTAAAGAAATAACACATACTTGTCTGCCTTGTACCTTTTCACGTCTAGATGTAAGAGTGAAGTGGATAATGGTAAACAAAGACATCTTCATCTCCATGTTAAGACCAATTGGTCAATTGGTGTTTAGAGTGGGTGGGTGATGGAGGAACTTACAAATTGGCAAGTGTATTCATTGGTGGTAGGGGAAATGACTAATGAGGAGTTAAACCCAAACCTCATTTTCTTACCAATGAACACGTGGCCATGAGGTGTCATTTAAGGGGGGAATTACTCTCTCCAAATAAGGTGGTTTTTGAGTTCACTCAACCACTAGCCACATCTCTTGCCCGTCAGTTTTTCTTCCAAGTCCAAGAATTCTCCTCTCTCCCCCAGCCTTTGTTACCTTTGCCCCAACCTCAGTCCTCTCGCCCTTCTAGTTGGATTGGCCCCCCGGATGGTTTTATCAAGATCAACTTTGATGCTGCTGTCTGCGCCCCGGATTGCTCGTCAGGGCTTGTCGCTCGAGGATCAGATGGGCAAGTCCTTTTGGCCTTGGGTTTCCACCACCCTGGAGTTTCGAATCCTTATCTTGCTGAACTCTTGGCCGCGAGGGATGCCGTCTCTCTCGTTATCTCTCGAAGTCTTCCCCACGTCATCATAGAAGGAGATTCTGAAGCCGTCATTCGTCAACTTACTGATAGATGCTGTGAAGACTCGGTGGGCGGGCCCTTGCTTCGTGATTGTTGTCAATTAGTGAGGTCCTGTTCCTCGTGTATTCTTTTTAATGCGGTTCCGAGGACTGCCAACTGGGCTGCCCATAGAGTGGCAAGACAAGCCCTGTTGCTGTCCCCTGTAGAGATAGCGTCCTTTGACTTTGTAGGGTGGTTGCATTAATTTATTTCCGGGGTTTGGGTAGAGGTTTTAACTATTGTACTTCGGTATTACTTGGAAAAAAAAAAAATTGGTTGGTCAAAGCACCAGAAAGTGAGGTGGCAAAATATACTTGCCTTTTGTCATGCATGTGTAATGAAGGGAAGCTTTTGTCATATGTTTAAGTGAGATAACTCATCTCCAAACCAATTAAACGGGGATGAAGAAACACTTACCACCTTACCTTTGCTTCTTCTTTTCCACGTGGAAGTCAAGGGTAAAGGAGGACGGTTGCTTGATATAATTATAAGGAAACACAACACATAAAACACCCACCTCATACATTACGTGTAAGTGTAATGAGCATTGTATGGCTGACATGTATGTAGTTGGGTTTCCTTTGATGAGAAATGATGGCTTGCCACATCTCACTCTTGGTCCACGTGGAAGAGGAAGTTTTGGGTGGGATTTTATGTGTTTCTTATTTCATTTGTTTGGATGATAGCAAACACTAATTGTAACCTACTATGCAATTTCTCTCTTTGGCTACGTTTAAAAGAGAGGATATATGATATGTTAATTGTATTTTTAATATGTAAGACATTCATGAAAAAATGATAATGATGTACGATGTCGGTTGAATACTGGGTTAATCAAATAGAATAGAAAAGAACTGTCTTTTTTCGAATGTCTAAGAGATTGATTAACAATTATATATGAACAGTGTTCAATAATTCAAATTATTGGGATCGGATTGATTTATGATATGCTATCAAAGTTAGTTAGTTTGATCATTCATGAAGTCAAGTGTTTGAATCCTCATAATTTTCAATATTAACGGTAGATTTAAAGCATAAGTGTAAGAATTAAGATTTACACATGATTTTTTTTTTTAGGGAAAGGGTTAATAATCGTTTTATTTTATTGAGGGAGTGATATTATATTTAGGGATAAAAGGTTGGTTATGTGGGTTGTGGTTCAAATGTGGAAATCTGTTGGGAAAAAGAGTGCATGCTATGTTGGTGCAGTGCAGGCTGCAGCTAGCAACCAGACAATGAATAAAGCAAGCAAGCAGCAGGCAGACACCTTGATGTGAAGTGTCTTTCTTTTGAAACTTCAAATTCATTCTTTCCTTCAACTTCTTCTTTTTTTTTTTTTTACCTTTTTTCACTTTTACCACTTTTACCACCTTCCCTTCTTTCTTGTTCTTTGTGCGATTTCAAACTTCTAATGCCTTAGGTTATGGAATTTGGGTTAAGTATTGTTTGAGAGATGGAATTCACTTCACATGGAATTCAAATCGTAACTCATTTGAGAATGTTAGTTAATTCTAATCTCTCTGAATTTATTGCATTAGATAGATAAGATGTGTCACTTTCTATCATGGTCCATCCAACATGAGCCTTATGATTAAAAGATAAGATGTGGCAACCACCTTTTGCCTGGTTTCTAGTTAGAATGCGTGGAAACTAAACCCTAAAGGAATCAGGAGAGGAGGACATCCAACTATATCCCTAACCAGAAATCCCATAACCAGAAGAAGCCCTAGTTTTCTACCCTCTGCTGCCACAGGTTTCCCCATTTGAGGATAAAAACCCACTTCTGAAAGAAATATTTTAAGTTTTGGTACAATAAATTCTCTACCAAACATTAAAGTTGTGCTACTTACTACCCTTAAGAAGCTCAGCCTTTTCCTGTGTGTTGTATGTATGCATATTTATATTGCCACCCAACCATTTCAGGCCATTTCCTATGACGTGGCCCAATTAAAATTATGCACGACACCACTAACTTTAGATAGACGAAAGCACGAAAGTAAAGAAATTCCGTTCGTATCGTAACAATAATGTGTACATGTTACGATACAAGTTCAGTTTGTATCATAATATAGCATATTGTAAATTTCAGGGATACTATAGGGATACGATATAGATTAATAGATAGCTCATTCCATTACTCAAACAACCAAACATGGAAATTTACATCTCCTTGTCCCTCAACAATATTACATATATTGCCTCCTCACACACTCCCCAAACTAACAAACACGAATACTCTGGGAGAGAGCTACAAACAAACAACTCTCCCCAAGTACACCAATAAAAATGGCGGGTGGAGATTCACACCCTCCACCTCCTCCATTTCTTCTTCTCTGCCAACAAATTCCCACGGCAGAGATAGAAAATCGAAATTCTACTAGCAAGTAAAAAAAAAAAAAAGTACAATAAAGAACACAAAGAAAGAAGACCCTTACCACTAATATTATAAAGGATCTCCCTTTCACTAAGACCGACACAAATTGGCCTCTCCCAACTGACACAGAAAAAAAGATCAAAGAGCCATTTTAAAATTAGCCCTCTTTCTCTTTTCTCCAATCACCACCATATACCCAAATATAACGAAAATAAAAAGAGTAACCGGCCGACTTGGAAACTTGTTCCACTTTCAACGGAATTGTGCGCCGGCGTAAGTCTGGCCGAAGGACCAGCCGGAAGGTGCGACATTGTAGGACACAATGGAGCGGCCGTCGCTGGTCGTAACCTTAAAAGACAGAGCCTGTCCATTAAGGTAGTTGTTGCTCTGCCAATTCTGGCCCCAGTTCCTGGACATGGACTGCCACCCGGTCCTCGAGCCCTTGATTGCTACGGATTGGACGTCCCCGGCTCCTCCGACGTTGGTGATGAGGACGAGGTTGAAGTAGGAGTGGCCGTTGATTGTGAACCTTATCCCTCCCCTTCTCCTGCAGGACACCCTGCCAAAAACCCAAGTAAAGAACAACCCAAGTCAAATTAAGGGTAAAAGACTCAAACTTTGGGGGAAATTCTAGTTGGGTGGAAAAAATTAGGAGGAACCCAAGTCAAGTTGGGGGTAAATTGTTAATGGGTTGTAAATTTTTTTTGTTGGGTTTACCTGCGGTAAGAAACGGGGACGATTCCAGCTTTGTACTGAGCAATGTGCTGGAATACGGGCTGGGAGAGGTCGAAATGGTGCTGGGGAGGGTTGCACCAGCCGCCGGCGTTGTTGGGCAGGGCGTTGTTCGGCGGGCAGAAGTTGGTGGCGGTGATGACGATGGAGCCAGGGAGGCACCACCGGCGGTCGTTGACGCACTTGATCTCGTAGCAGGAGCCGCATGCGAGGCCGTTGTTGAACAGCGCCGTGCTCAGCGCCGCCGTGTTGGTGCCGTAGCCTTGGCTGTAGAGGTTTCCATACCCACAAGCACCGCCTGGGGAAAAACAGCAAAAAGGAAAAAAAAAATCCATAAACATAACAATCAGTTGAGCACGGAAGCGTAAACATTACTGAAATGGGTAAATAATGAAATTGGGGAGGGGAGCTTTACCCATTGTGCCGGAAGCATCGCCGCCGCCGTAGAATGTGGCGTGAGCGGTGACCCAGTTGCCTCCGCCGCCGCCGTAGCCGCTGACAGAGGACGCCATTGTCAAGGCGAGAAGAGGGAGGAGGAGCGAGTACCCAGCAAGACCCATTTTTTTCCGGCAATCTGCACAGGAGCAAGGAAAAACCCATTTGATTGTTAAGTTACGGATGTAAAAAGCTTGAAACTTTGTGACACTTGAATTAGGCTTAAGTAGAAATGATTAAGCTTTGAAACAGAGGAAGAGGCAGAGACAGAATGATTACATGAAGACTGGAGGAACAGAGTGCTGGGAAAGTTTGAGGTGAGAGAGGGCAGAGAGGAAATGTGGTGATGGTGGGTGAAGGAAAATGGTTGAAGGGTGCAGGGGATTTATAGAAGAACATGGCAGGGGACTTTATGGGGAGGAAGGTTGCACTAAAACAGAGAGACTCAGAGAGAGCTTTTTTTATTTATTTTTTTTTGCACTAACGAACAGGGGACCATAAACCGCTAGGGGCACTTGAGGGTAGAAAGGGAATTTCCTTCTCCCTCTTGGCCCTGTTTTTTTTTTTGGCCTGGAGGCCGGAGGGAGAGCAGTTGTAGGCTTGTAGCCTGTAGGGTTTTTGTTTAATGTTTTTGTTTTAAATTTAAATTTAAATTTGAAGGAGGGAGGGAGAGGGATAGGGGTGTATATGGGTCGGGTTGTTCAAGTTTGGTCATTTTAATCACCCGATTCGTACACTATAGTTTTGAAAAAACCAAATTCAAACTCACCCAAAATATTTAGAACCCTACGATTTGTTTCTAGTTGGGTCGGGTTGGAGATACTTTTATTTAAAAATCCAACCCAATACAAAAAAGACAACTATTCTACACCACAAAATATTATATAACTAATTAAAATTTTAAACAAATAAATCAAATCAAAAAGTATTAAAATGCATCAATGGTGTTTGCATTTTAATGAAATACAATTTGTTTAAACATAAGTCTAGTTTTTCCCACAAACATTTTTCTAAATAAACATTGGCTTAAACATAAATCTACTTTTTCCACAAACATTTGCTTAAACATAAGTGAACTTATTCATATATATTATTCTTCTAAAATTGTACACACAATAAATTATATAATTTGTATCCTATATTAAATATATGTCTACAACTATAATTTGAAGTAGAATAATGCATTAAACAAGGGAAACCACAAGAGAAAATTATGATAAAATATTTTTATTTTATTATGAATATGCTTATATACTACACAAATATGTTTTGTATACGAACATTTATGACAATAGTCGGAACACGGGTTGGGTCGGTTTTTACGGGTTGCGTAACCCAAAATCTGCACCCAACTCAGTAAAGGCGGGTTGTATATATTAAAAGTTAAAACCCTCATCCTATCTTAAATAATAATTTTAACGATAAATACGAGTGAGTTGGATCAAATTGGATGATTGAGTAGGTTTGAGTGTGGTTTTGTTCACCCTAGAGAGGGAGATAGAAAGAGATGGGAAATATGGAGGGCGAAAGTTTCTTCTCCTCCCATGTGCGTGTGGGAATTTGTAGTTATCTGAGGGGGGGAAATAACCCCAAAATCTAAGTGGGTCCTTCTTTTGTTTCTCTTTTCGCTTTCACAATTTGTCTTCTCTTCGCTCCGTCGCAATTCTCGGTATTAATCATTTAATTGTTCCTAGGCTGTTCAAACCGTATAGTTATTGTTCTAACTATTTTAATCGGTAGAATTCGGATAATTTGGTTTGATTAATTTGAATAATTGATTTAATTTTATTAAGTTTTTTAATTTGTTTAGTTTAAATGATTTGATTTAGTTTTGGTTATTTGTAACCAATTAACTAATTACAAATTTGCTCATAAATCTCATATATTATAATCTCGTACTTAACACTTTACATAATCACTCAAGAATCAAACACTTCCCTTTTGGATCCATTAAAAAACAACTCATTATTGTTCCTATATTGCATTGTTATTATAGACAATAGACAACAACATACGGATTCCTAATTTAAATGAATCTCATACATTATGTATTTATGTTGTTGGACGAAATCTGAAAAGGAAGTGTTTTTTAAGATAATTGCTAAGAGATTAAGGCAATTCACACGGACATCATTAACCCTATATCATTAGCATATACTTTTATTAGGTGGCAATTTCTAGTGATTGTAATATAATTTTATTAAATGCACATATTTACGTTAAGGGTTAACAATATGCAAATCGTTATAATTTATTCGTTATATAAATTATGAATTAATGCATTATTGTGATTTTTTCTCACATAATGATACTTTTATGTTATGTTATATTGGTTAACCCGATTAACTAATTAACCTAACCGATTAAACTATAATTTGGTTAATTTGATTGTAGTATTAGTTTGATCTGTTTGGTTTTGATATTTTGTTTCATGATTAATAGAATTTAGATTTAATTGAATTTAGAAATTATCAAAGTAACCATTTGAACGTCCCTAATTTTTTCCAATGCGCTTAGTTTAGTTCGTGTTTTCTGCTAAAGACAACAAAATCTGATAAATTTAGTAATTAATCGTGTCATTTAGCCAATATTCAACTATGATTTTAACAATGAATTAGGATTAGGGCTGGCTATTTGGACCGGGACCGGATGAAAAACCGGAAACCGGACCGGATAACCCGGACCGAGACCGGACCGGGACCGGATAGTAAACAATCCAATCCAATCTTTGGGCTTAGATTTGAGTTAAAAAACCGGATAAAGACCGAATAAGAGAGCTCAACACCCAAAACTTAAGGGTAATTTGCATAAACGGTCACAAACCTTTGCACTTAATATAAAACTTAACCAACTCCTCACCCTTTTAGGCCTTAGGCCACTCAAATTCCCACAATCTCAATATAAAATCAAGACCAAATTGGGACCGGACCGGGTCAAGACCGGACCGGATCAAGACCGGACTGTATCCAATCCAATCTTCGGTCCTTATATTTTCAAAAAAACCGGACTGGACCGGATCAATTTGGGCCAATTTAACCGGACCGGACCGTATAGCCACCCCTAATTAGGATTCATTCTAGCGATAATATTAGAGGTAGATGTGGAGAGCATAATAAAGTGGATCACAATTGGCACGGAGAGTATCTAATAATTTCTCTTGATTTTGGGAGAGTTTTGAGTAAAAATAGGGATGTTAGTTAGTTTCTTCCATTGGAGTAAAACTAATTTTTGAAATGCAATATATGTTTAGTTTGGCTCTGCGGTAGCTTTTGCAAAAGCTCTTTCTGGCTTGAATTTTTAGAGAAGTACTTTTCAAGAAAAACAGTTGATTGTTTGGTTGAAAAACTATTAGAAGTGCTTTTTAATATGAGAGGTTGAGTAAAATGACTATAAATGACTTATAATATAAACTAAGAATAATAATTCTAAACAATAACATGCAGTCAAATGGATCTTATTAGACTTCTTTTATATTAAATAGTATGATTTTATAATTTATTTTATTTTTAAATGATATAAATGAAAGAAAAATATATTTTCTGAAATAAATTAAAATATGGTAAGGATAATCATGTATTTTCAAAACAGTTTTTCGCAGAAGCTCCAAATCGGAGCGTCTGCTTTTATGTTATGCAAAAGTGTTTTTCGGCTTTTCAAAATTCGAGTTTTTAGAGGTGTTTGGCCCTGGTTCAGCTTTTGCACCCGAAAAGCACTTCTAAAAGTCGGGCCAAACATAGACATAGTCAATTGCGTATCATACATCTTCATCGTTATATATAAAATGTTATTTAACATTTTTACCATTATTTTTTTTTGACAAAAGATAATCATATGTATTGATTATAAAAAATAGATAATTACATCATGGAATTTAACCAGGCCATAAAGTCAAAGAAGCGACTCGTAGTCGGTTACAATTGAAGGGTCTTCCTAGCCACCAACTACCTACGAATCACACATTGAGTCCACTCTGATTTGTTAAGCAATGCACAACTTCCTCAAGAAGGGCCACAATCCGGCTATCCCTGGTATCTGACTGATTTATATATAAAAAATAACCACATTGGCGTCACCTTCCAGTCGCACTTTCGTAAACCCGAATGCCAGACACCAGAGAATTTCCTCCCGAAGGGAAAGCACCTCAGTAGTCAAAGGATCATCAATCCCCACAAACTGAACCCCTTTAGCCAGGAGAACCTCCCTAGCCTGATTCATGATAATCATCCCTCCTACCGAATGACATGCATGCTTGGTTGCCCCATCCCACCTACAGATTATTGGACAAGGGAGGACACCCCCCAAAAGTTGTTCGAAAGGGGCAGGCAACCGCTGAATCCTATCAACAGGCAAACTTACCCATTGCTGATACTGCTGGTGGAATTGCCGCATTAAAGTTGAGATCCCGAACTGTTTGCCCTCAAAGACAACCCAATTCCGTGAACGCCAGATCCTCCAAATGACAGCAGTGACTGCCATAAACAGCTGAAGTTGATTTATTAACATCATTAATTTTTTCAGGAATAGTGGGAAGGTATGCGAGGCAACCCTTACCCAAGATATTTTTGTCCCGCATAATCCCACAAGGCCCTAGTCATTGGGCTAAAACATTTTCACAATTAAGACACATTGTAATATAGAATTATGTTGAGTCTATTACAATGGTATATAGCACCAAAACAGTTTATACTGTATAACACCATGTGTGCATCGATTGACTGGGTCTTCACCTATGACTCAGATTGGGATTACTGGTTTTGTGCCTGATCGAGTTGTTGCTGATGCTACTTAGCCAAAGTATGCCAAGTATCAAGACTTGTGCATAACGGTTGGTTACGCTTTCCTGCCCTTTTCCTTTTCTTCGCTGAGAGAGTTGGATACGGATGCCGTGACTTTGCTCAAGCGGATCCAAAAATACTCCGTGTCCCAGGATGCAGTGGCTCGCGCGGCCGCGCAAATTCTTACTAAACTTAGTTTTGCTCCAGCTAAGGTAGTGGAGGCCCAGATTGTATCTCGACTGCCCACTAATTTTTTTTAGATCATTGTTTGTTCTGATTTGACAAAATAATAAACATTATTAATTCATTAATTCAATTTGTCAATGGAACAAAATTTAAATTCGAAGATAATATCTCTTAAAAACTAATTGAGTTCGAATAAATATGTATTGTCCCCCGGTAGAGTTTTTTTCCTGTAAATCAAAGTGATACAGTATATAAAACAATCTTAAAAATTACCCCACCAAAAAAAAAAAAAAAGAATTACTACCGTGACATGATACTTAAACACACAGATTACGCTACCTTTTTTTTTTTTTTTTATCGGATATCCCCAAAGCCAAAGGAACCGAGATTACGCTACCTCAACTTCATTTCATAAACACCCAGAAGGCATAAAAACAT